AAAAAAGGAGGATTCATTGAAAAACTTAACACATGGTGGTTCGCAAACAACGGAAAATCAATCAACTAAAATATTCCGAAGTAATTCATACAAAGATAAAAAGACACAAACACCGGTTAGCGTGATAAGAAGGACGCAATCGAAATCGAAACCAACAGAAAGTCAAACAGAAGAAGTTTCATCTCAAGCAAAGCAGCAACCAATTACATCCAGCGTTGTAAACGACAAACAATCAACATTGAAACCAGAAAATGATCAAACCATTAAATTTTCAACAAATGATTCGTCGATAGAAAAAAAGCCAGAGAATCTAAGTTTGATAGACGAGCAAGAAAACAAATTGCAACCAGAAGAGAATCGATTTGATGATCAAGGAAGGCCTAAAATTGAAGAATCTGATAACAAATTTAGAAAAAAGGAGGATTCATTGAAAAACTCAACACATGGTGGTTCGCAAACAACGGAAAATCAATCAACTAAAATATTCCGAAGTAATTCATACAAAGATAAAAAGACACAAACACTGGTCAGCGTGATAAGAAGGACACAATCAACATCGAAACCACAAGAAAGTCAAACAAACGAAAATCTGAAAGAAGCTTGGCATGAATTCAAGAAGCAACAAACACCAGCCAGCGTTTTAAGCGAGCAATCATCATTATCAAAACCAGCGGTTGATCGTGGAGATATGATTGCAGCAAGTGATTCGTCCCAAGTCGAAAAGCAAGAAAATCTCAGCTTTCCATCAACATCGAAACCACAAGAAAGTCAAACAAACGAAAATCTGAAAGAAGTTTGGTCACAATTCAAGAAGCAATCAATTACATCCAACGTTGTAACCAATATTGAACAATCGACATCGAAACCAACAGAAAGTCAAACAACCAAAATTCTATCAAGTGAATCGTTGATTGAAAAAAATCCAGAAAATCTAAGTTTAATAGACGAGCAACAACCAGAAGAAAAACAAACGACCGGAATTCTGAAAGGTTCTATTGAAATGGTTACAGGTGGTTCATTCAAAGACGAAAAGACATTAACAACTACTACATCTAGCGTTGTAAACGAAAAACAATCGAAATTGGAAGAAGTGGTGACAAAAAATGAACAAACAGAAGAGAATCGATTGAATGATGATCAAATGAATGAAGAAATTTCAACAAAAGACCAAAATCAACAGAATCTAGCCAAAGAGAAACCAAAAACATTGAAATCCGAAAATGATCAAGCAACAAACATTTCATCAAGAGATTCGTTCAAAGAAGAAAAAGCAGAAAGTCAAACTGAAGAACAATCAATATTGGAACCTGAAAATGATCAAGCCACCAAAAGTTCATCAAGATATTCGTTTTCGTTCGTAGGAAAAAAGGCGGAAAATCTAAGCGATGAACAATCAACATTGAAACCCGAAAATGATCAAGCCACCAGAATTTCATCAAGATATTCGTTTTCGTTCGTTGGAAAAAAGGCCGATAATCTAAGCGAGGAACAATCAACATTGAAACCTGAAAATGATCAAGCCACCAGAATTTCATCAAAAGATTCGTTCATAGGAAAAAAGTTAGAAAATCTAGGAATCGAAGAATTAAGGTTTTCCGAAAAAAATAAAAAAACAAATCTTGAAAAAGAATGTTTATACGATGAGATGGAAATTCGTTTAGATAATAAGGAAAAGATATTGAATCAATTAGAAAATAATTGGTCAAATCTTAATATGAATGAAAAAAATGAAATAAAAAAACATCGACAACAACTTAGTGATGATAGAATATTCATTGTAAATAGAAGAAATGAATTAAAGAATATAAAAAATAACATGAAAGAAACAATGATTAATAAATTTATAAATGAAAAAAAAGAAAAGGAAAAAATATTTAAAGAAAAAATTGGAGATATTACAAATAGAATAATAACAGTTGATAATTTAAATGGAAAATTTTTAAAATTGAATAATAATGATGAACTTATAATGTTTATTGAACAAATAACAGCCGAAACAATTCGAAGAGAAACAATATTGGTTAGAAAAGAAAATGAATTAGGATTAAAAGAAAATATATTGAATGAACAAGAACGTTTATTTGCCAATAATGATAATAATATGGCCGAAATAAACAAAATAAATGAAGAAAGACAAAAAATTCTGAATGAAAGAAGATTTATTGAACATAAATGGAAAGAATTAAAAGATGTTACAAAATTAATGAATGATAAAAGAAATTATGGTTATAAAATAAAAAAACAAAATGAAATTAATCAATTAATGTCAATCGAACAACAAATAGATCAATTAAAAATAAATATAAATAATTTGAATAGAAAAAATGAAAATTTATATGATAAAGAATTACAATTAGATAAATTGGATGCTAATTATAATATAAATAATTTAAAAGATAAAATAAAATTAAATGAAATTGAAAGAAAAAATATATTACAAGAAAAAATAAATATAGCAAAAGAAAAAAGAAAATTACAAGAACAATTACAAACAATAAAAATGAAAAGACAACAGATTTTACTGGAAAGAAAAAATCGAATCAATGAACAATTAAAAATATTACAACAAGATGAAGAACAATTACAAAGATATAGAATTGTTTTGAATGTAAAAGAAATAAAATTAAATGAAAAAGAATCTAAATATGAAGAAATTGTTAAAAAAATTTATTTAAAACAAATTTATTTTAATAATAATGAAATGTATCAAATTGAAGAAGAAAAAAATAGAATTATTCAAGGAAGAATTCTTATTAAAAATGAAAGAGAAAAATTTGAACAAATACAAAAATCAATAGATATGAAACGGCAACAAATTTTGCAGGAAAGAAATAATTTGGATGAAACACAACAACAACAAGGAAGGCCAAAAAGAGAAGCTAATGAAGAAAATGGAAATGAAAAATTTTATGAAAGTGAGAAGAAAAAATCTGTAAAGAATTTATTAAAATTGATTAAAGATAAATTTTTGAAACGAAGAAAAAAATCATCAAACGGAACAAAATCAGCCAATCTTTCAAAACAAACAATCGCTGATGATCAATCAATACAACAACCGACCAACAACCATACATCTGAACCAAATATTGAAATAACCAAATCATTCAATCTGGATTCGTCGTTAACCAAACGTTTACAAAAATCAATGAAACAAACAATTTTATCAACAGCAACCACACAACAAATGTCTGGACATCAATTTCTTGATTACACCAAACAATTTTGATTTTTTAAAAAATAATAATAACAATAATAATATAAAACTATCATTTTTATTCAATTATAATAATAAATGTATTATAATAACAAACAAATTAATCATTTTCCAAAATGTCCAGCTCTTTTATATTTCTGCATTAATTTTGTAGCAATTGAACCATTTTTAAAATGAATATTATCAATACCTGGATAAAGTTTCTTTTCCGGTTCATCCGGTAAATAATAACGATCTTTTAGATGCATATTCCAAATATCATCACGTTCATGATGTTTGATCATATCATAGCCAGCATTAAAATGATATTTAGCTAATGAACGAAATCTACGTCGATATTTTAATTCCATTCTTTCAATGTAGGTAGGATTCAGGTTCATTTGTTTTTTCTTTGTTTTATTCAAAAAAAAATTAATAGATTAAGTTCAGATTAGATATCAGAAATAAAAACATTGCTTACATTGGTAATACTACGAAGTTTCCATTCACGTTGTTGACCAACAATTGCAGCTTTTTCCCAATATTCTTTTGTATTTGGATTCAATTCATAAAGTCGTGGTGGTTTAAGTGATAAATTCCATAACCATTCGGGATAATTATTATCATCTTTTAATTTAATTTCATCACCATTTTTATAATAATTAGCACCGCAACAAAAATTCATTAATTTTTTTGGATCATTTTCCACTGGTAAACGAAAACGTTTTTTACCAACTGCTTGTCCAGATATTTTTGGAACACTGGAAAATGTTCGAATAATATTGATTGATAACATTTGATAAATTGATTATTAAAAATTTGAAAACTTTTTCAAACAGATGTTTGATGAACAAGATTTTCAAAATTTTTTTCGTCAACATAAAACATGCGGAGAACTAACTATCGATTGTTATGTTTGATTGTTGATACATCGATACATCGAAAAATTCATATTTTATTTCATTTCATCATCGACGCATATCATAAAATGGTTTTCATTGCTGTTCATAGTGGTATTTTTCTAAAAATTATTTTTTTTTTGTTTTTTTTGATAATGATTTTTGACTTTTGAATATTAAGGTGCCGGATTTTATGGATCACAAAAACGTGAAAAATTTTTAGATGTCTGTTCGAAAGCTTGCGAAGCTGTAAGTTTTTGAAATGAAATGATTTGTTTTTAAAAATTCTTTCTTTTTTTTAACATAGACAATAAAAGAATGGAAAAATGATTCCACTGCAATCGATGGTGTTGTAGAAGCAATATCATATCTTGAAAATGAAATAATAACAAATGCTGGATTAGGATCTAATCTTAATTTAGGTGGTTATGTTGAATGTGATGCTTGTTTGATGGATGGAAAAGATCTTTTATTTGGTTCGGTTGGTGCAATTCAATCCATTCGAAATCCAATAAAAGTTGCCAATTTGATTCTAAATAATCAAAGATATAAACCTCCTCTTGGATTGATTGCACCAAATTTTCTTGCTGGAGAAGGTGCAAAGAAATTTGCTATTTCTAATGGTTTACAAGAATTTGATTTGATTTCAGGTAGGTTTTTTGTCTTCGAAATGAATTGCAACCAGAGTCGCCAATAATTTTTATTTGATAGGAAAATCTTTGAATATTTTCAACAAATATAAACGACAACTTGATGAATGTGAGCCAATATCGATTGATAAAAAACATAAACAATATGATACGGTTGGTGCTGTTTGTATTGATGATAATAACTGTCTTGCATCCGGAGTATCTAGTGGTGGATTAATTCTTAAAAAAGAAGGTCGAATTGGACAAGCATCAATTATTGGTTCAGGTTGTTGGTCCGAAAGTAATGCAGCTGTTACAACTAGTGGAATCGGTGAATATCTGATTCGAACTTCATTGGCAAGAAAAACGATTGAAAATTTAATTGAAAAAAATGATGATGATAATGATACATCAACTATAGTTGAAAAATTGGTTAAAATTTTTCATAATGATTTTTTCGGTAAATAATTAATCATCAATCTAACTAATAATAATAATAATTTTTCAAATTTCATCAAGGATCACCATTAATGAAAAATATTCCACGTGAAGATCATTTGGCTGGAATTATGGGATTATCCAATGATTCGAATAATATTGAATTATTTTGGGCACATAGTACTAAATCAATGTGTATTGGTTATATGGATACAGCATTTACATCTGGTAAATCATTTATATCGGATTTAGATTGTTCATCTAAACCTGGTTTATCAGTTATTGTACAATCAAAATTATTTCGAAATAAACATTAATTATTTTTTTTATTAATTAACAATTTTTTTAATTATTTTTTAAATAATTTATCTAAATTAGGTATATCTTTAATTGAAACTGTTGCACTACCACGTTTTGCTGGTATTGGTTGTGAAGGATGTGGTTTCCATCCAATAAAATAAAATATTTGAAATGTAGCCGGTATACAGGATTCTATATTATCTGGTTTGAATGATGTTGTATTTTTTTCATCAGATTGAATTCCATAAAGATGTTGATATATAGAAGCTGCAGCCAATAATGAATCTCTATTTAAATGTGTTTTGGCTAAAATTGTAGCATTATTTTCACCCATTCCTTTTAAATCGTACATTAATTCAAAAATGGTTGGATAATGTACAATTATTTCATCAGTATCAATTGTTAACATTGTATATCCTGATCTATTCAATAATGAACCAATATCTTGTGCAGTAATTAATGGTGAAATATGTAAACCAAAACCACCTTCTCGTTCAATTTCAGCCATTTGTAATGAACATCTTAGTTCAAATAATGTTTGTCCACCAAACATTGATCCAATGAATACACCATCTTGTTTAAGTGAATGGAAAACATTTGAAAATAATTGTGGTAAATCATTGATCCAATGAAGATCTAAACTAGAAATAATCATATCGGCACTGTTTTCTTGTAGAATAAAATCTTCTTCATTGATGTATAATTTCTGTATTTCAATATCATCTCGTTGTTTGATAGATTTCTGTTAAATTTATAGAATAATAATAAAACTCAATACTTGAATACAAATTTCTATTTACCAATGAATTGAAAGACGAAGAACAATGTAAAATACAATCGACAGTTTCCTAATTTTAAAATACAAAATAAAAATTAATTAAGAACCAAAACTAATGAAAAAAAACAAAAATAAACTAATTTTCTTACCGTGGTCAAATGTGAACCAAGAAGACCTTTATATGTACCAAGATCGACAATAAATGGAAATCGTCTTTGAATTAATCATATGTTATTATTGAAGATACATTTTGTTTTTTAAATAAAAAAAATATTTACCTTTTAATATCAAATATTCTATCGGCAACACGAAAAGCTATCTCATCTTTTAAATAATCATAAAGTTCCGAATCATTACTTGATAATGATCGATCACGTTGTAATCGTTTGATTTTTTCATTAAATATATTAATATTTGAAGAAAATGATCGTTTTGAATTAAAAACATTAGTAATTCGATGAAAATGTTTCCACATAGTTCAAAAAAAAAGAAAAACATTAAGTAATTTTGTATTCGCGAATTTTATCAACAGAAACAAAATCCATTCGAAAGATTTTACCATATCAATATATCGATTGTATCGTATTCAAAAAAAAAAAAAAAAAAAATTTAATTCGAATTTTTTTTTTATAAATTATTAATGTTTTATTATCTTTACATGTTTGAAAAATGATTTTTTTGC